AAAAGAAACTTTGTAAATCAGACTAGACTTCAAAACAGGTCAAAAAGATCACTCCCACACTGGCATGCTCACCAAAATGCTCTTCTTCAACTGTCTTATCAATATGCAAAGGATTTAAATGTTTCTAAATGTTGGGTATGTTCCCACTTGCCTCCTAGTACAATGACAGGGGTGCCCACGATTGCTTTATCCCTTAATTGGACGACTTTTGTGATATGTATGTTAAAATAGTGAAAAGGTAAAAAGAAAGAAAAATTAGAAGTTAAAAGGCTCATGGCTATACGTATCTAATATGTTGGGCCAAAAAGGCCGAAAAGGGGGGAATGTGGAAATAAGTTTAACCAGGCCTCTTACTTGAGTAAGGAGAAAGAGAAAGAGAAGAGAAAAAGATGCTGATGCTGATGCTGATGTTTCAAAATGTTCTAAGATAAGGAAAAACCTTCATGCCTTGTTTTGTCTGTGTGCAGATGTCCTTTCCACCGAACCAGAAGCTGATAACTGTTCCCAAAGCATAGGTTTTTTTTCTAAATAAGTAAATTGCTTACGTGTGACAAATGAATGATCAACATCTTTCTGTTTCTCTCAAGGTTGCTTTGTCTGAACCCTGCATCTTTTCTCGCTGTCTAAAGTATAAATACACTTGTAAATTTGTAGAGGTCAGAGTTCCTTTGAGAAATGTCCCTGTGATCACTTGCATAGCTTTAAATAAACCTAGATGGCTCTGCCAATTCTAATACAACCACAACGCGAAGTTTGATTTCTTCCACACTGCTGAGTGAGAAGAAAGGGAAAATGGACAGGTTGCACTGCTATCAGTAATCTCTCTTGAGCGAGTGCCATTTCTTTTTTTCCTACTATTTTAAACAGATAAACCTTGCCCCCCCTCTCCCCCGCTTTCACGGGAACTGCTCCCCTTTCACCAGTTTCGGCCCGTGTCCCCTCTCAAATCAGGCACATCTGCACGCACGGGACCTGGCAGACAGGTGAGTCGGCAGGCTTTTGTTCTTCTCACAGTGCGGGGCCATTGGCTGAGAGTAAGCAAGGAATGTGTTTGGAGCACTTGTAGTGTAATTGTTCAGCTCTTTGAGCTGCCTGATGCTTTTGGGCAAGGCAAGGCCTCATGTAAGCCAGCAGGAAAGGAAGTGTGTTGTAGACTGCGGGTCTTTTCCTGCTGAAGAGGAGCAATTTGAAGGGCTGTGGTGTGAGGGTGTGAGAACTGCTTTTACGTGGTGCAGCCGAGGGCAGTGGTCTTTAGCGGTGCAGGCGGCTCTGGATCTGTCTGCCCCATGGGTGAAACCAGGTGTGAGGGGAAGAGAGTGGAAGCCAAAACAATGGGAAAGTGGTGCAAGTGGCAGAGGGGAGGGGGGAGGAGGCAAGGGGACATCAAGCTAGATCACTGGTTCTCAACTTTGTTTTGTCCCAGGACCCATAGGCATAAACATGAGTGGCAAGTCTTGACCCAGTGCACCTCAACCCTGATGTGCTGCCACCCAGTCACACCCCATCCCTTGCATGGCAGTAGGGGGATTGGGGGATTGGTGATGAAAAGCAGGCAGGGATGGGGCTTGAGGTGGGGGAGCTTCCGGGTTTGCCAAGTAACTTTGGTTCCAGCAGTGATGTAGTTAATGGTGATGTCGTGCTCAATGTTGCACATACTCAGTAGCAGCCCCCAAGCAAGCTTCTGGAACCTCCTAAGGTGCTGCCTTAAGGGAGAAGTCTGCTTCTCTGCAAGGGAGGTGCTGCATGTGGCAGGATATGGAGTGTGTTTCTGAGGGAAAGGCTGGTTGAATGGCATGGAAGCGGAGTCTACAGCTGCTAGGTGAGCAGAGGACTGACAATGATGACCGGGTCTTTCCCAGGACAACTAGCTCAGGAATGTGGTGTGACTTGAAGGCATAAAAGTGGCTGCCTGCCGGATTCGAGCATTTAAGGCTGTGGAATCAGAAAAAATATCTGCCTTAAACTTTGATTATTTTAGTTATAAGATGACATAACCGCTTTGTGGAGAATTGCTGGCTCTGTATAGTAGAACAGATAAGAGAAAGTGTTTGTTCTTTGTAACTCCTCTGCAACTGCTTCGCTCACTGTGGCCTTGACGATAGCAAAACGGTATGTACAAATCTGATTTCCAGGTGCAAGAAGGAGGTTTGTGAACTAACCTCACCTCCCCCATTAGTTCCCATCCTGATTACAGCAAAGAAATAACGAAGTAATATTATAGCCGCTTTTCATGCTAATTTCACTATATGATCACGTGAGTTGTAAGCAACTGTTAAAAAGTATATAAGCCTCCTGATTTTGCTCTTGGGGGGGACCCCTTCCAAGTGCTTGGGAAATCCATGTCACTTTGGAGTCCCCTCTACAGCTGTAGTTTCTTTTGAATAAAAGCTTCTGCTGACCTGACCCAAAAGTATGCTGCGTGTGTTTCCACGACAAGGCTTATGGTTTGGTTGGGGCACCTTGTAGGGTATGTGAGAGTAAGACGTGTCTGGTGGGTGTGGTGGGGGTGGGGCAGTGGAGAAGCAGTATGCCGTGCCCTGCAGTTTGTGTGGTGCCCTGCCTGTTTGAATTGTGTTGTTTGGACCCGTTGTGCGAGTTTATTGTCATTTTGTGCCTGCGCGGCTATAGCTGGGATAGCATTATGGTTTGGTTGGGGCACCTTGTAGGGTATGTGAGAGTAAGACGTGTCTGGTGGGTGTGGTGGGGGTGGGGCAGTGGAGAAGCAGTATGCCGTGCCCTGCAGTTTGTGTGGTGCCCTGCCTGTTTGAATTGTGTTGTTTGGACCCGTTGTGCGAGTTTATTGTCATTTTGTGCCTGCGCGGCTATAGCTGGGATAGCATTTATTGCTGCTGCATCATTGGAGTGCTGGTTCTGCCTATTGCCACACAGTTTGGCTCACCTGGTGGTTACTGTCTGGTATTCCCTGTGGTTGTTAGCGCACGTTGATATATCTTGCACGCTGGTGCTTTTCTTGTGTGCATGACAGAAGTGAGGGCTGTTGGGCCATCCTTGACGCTTTCTCCAGGAGAATGGAGGCAGTGGTGCTGAAGGTACCCATAGAACAACATGACTCTGCCATGGCTCACTAGGAAAAGATAATCTTAGGGTCTTGGTAACGCCAAGACTTTTGGACTTCTTCCGCCTGGTGGAAGGTAGGCTTGTGCGGTTCAGTGTCAAGCAGGTGAATGGCAGAGTTGTTTAGCGTGGGGAAGCGTAGGCATGTCAGTTTCCTCCCAGTCATCAATCCCAGAGGGCCAGTAAGGAAAATGGTGTAGACAAAATGCTTCAATTGGAAAAGAAAAATAAATATGAGACTATAGCAAGAGGGACTGAGTGGCTGTGGGTGAGTTGTGTGCTGGTTGTGGATGCTGGAGAGCTGCGAATGGGCTTCTTAATCAATGTGAGATTTATCCAACGGAACTGTTTTTGCCCCCTGTCCAGCTTCGTATGCTGTACCTCTGAGAGAGGGCAGGCAGCAGGCAGGCAGCATGGAGCTGCAGTTCAAGACAGGTCTCTCTTGGTGTGGTCCCAGTCAGTGGTTGCTGTGGGCAGGAAATCGCTTGTATGCACTGAGCTAGATTTCTGCCATCGTTTCACGCGTTTGAAGTGTGACTTCAGCTTGGGTGTAGGTCTGATGTCCCCCTGAGAGGGGCTTCCCTAGGCTCCCTGCACTGTGAATTCACTCTTTGTGAAGAGGGTCTAATTCACATAAGTCAGCTACTTGACACAGAGTGATGCCGTGATGTGACTACTGGCGAATCTCAGTTTCTTCAACTCACCCTTGCTGCTTTTCTGTCCAGGAGTTTCAATGCAGACCAGACCTTCCAGCAAAGCTCAGAGTGAGGGTGTCACATGACCAGGACAAGAGTCAGACCACCTTCCTGCCGAGTCAGAAGAAAGGGGAAATGGACACCTTCCACTGCTGTGAGTAATCTCTCTTGAGCGGGTGCCATTTCTTTTTTTCCTGCCGATTTAAACAGATAAAGCTTGCCCCCTCCACCCCCTCCCCTGGGAACTGCTCCCCTTCCACCAATTCCCACCCATGTCCCCTCTCAAATGAGGGACATGTGAATGCAGGTGACCTGGGAGACAGGCGAATTGGCAGTCTTTTGTTCTCCTCATAGTGCGGGGCCATTGGCCGAGAGTAAGCAAGGAATGTGCTTGGAGCACTTGTAGTGTAATTGTTCAGCTCTTTGAGCTGGCTGATGCTTTTGTGCAAGGCAAGGGCTCATGTAAGCCAGCAGGAAAGGAAGTGTGTTGTAGAGTACAAGCCTTTTCCTACTGAAGCGGAGCAATTTGAAGTGGTGTAGTGTGCGGGTGTGAGAAGTGGTTTTGCATTGTGCCGCGGAGGGCAGTGGTCTGTAGCGGTACGGGTGGCTCTGGGTCCGTTTGCCCCATGGGTGAAGCCAGATGTGAGGGGAAGAGAGTAGAAGCCAAAAAAATGGGAAACTGGTGTACGTGGCTGGAGAGAGAGGGGAGGTGGGAGGAGGCAAGGGGACATGAAGCTAGAGCGCTGGTTCTCAACTTCTGTTTTGTCCCAGGAACCATAGGCACAAACATGTGTGGCAAGTCCTGACCCAGTGCACCTCAAACCTTATGTGCTTCCTGCCCAGCCCCCCTCTGCCCCCCGCCCCTACCTTGCATGGCAGTGTGGGGCACAGGGGATCGGTGATGAAAAGCAGGCAGGGATGGGGCTTGATGTGGGGGAGCTTCAGGGTGGCAAAGCAACTTTGATTCCAGCAGTGATATAGTTAATGGTGATGTCATGCTCAATGCTGCACATGCTCAGTATCAGCCCCCCAGGAAGCTTCTGGAACCTGCTAAGGTGCTTCCTTAAGGGAGAAGTCTGGGCCTCTGCAGGGGATGTGCTGCATGTGGCAGGAAAGGGAGTGTGTTTCTGAGGGAAAGGCTGTTTTGGGTGACATGGAAGCAGAGTCTGCAGTCACTAGGTGAGCACAGGACTGACAATGATGGCCAGATCTTTCCCGGGACGACTAGCTCAGGAATGTGGTGTGACTTGAAGGTATATAAATGTGGTTGCCTGCCTGATTTGAGCATGTGAGGCTTATGGTTTGATTAGGGCACCTTGTAGGGTATGCGAGAGTGAGAGGTGTCTGGTGTGTGGGGGTGTGACCCTGGGGGGCAGTGGAGGAGCAGTAGGCAGTGCCCTGCATTTTGTGTGGTGCCCTGCCTGTTTGAATCCTGATGTTGGGACCCGTTGTCTGAGTTGGTTTCCATTTTGTGCCTGAGCAGCCATTCCTGGGATAGCACTTATTGCTGCGGCATCATTGGAGTGCTGGTTCTGTCTATTACCACATAGTTTGGCTGACCTGGCGGTTACTGCCTGGCATTCCCTGTGGTTGTTAGCGCACCTTGATATATCTTGCACACTGGCGCTTTTATTGTTTGTGTGACAGAAGTGAGGACTGGTGAGCCATCCTTGATACTTTCCCCAGGAGAAAGGAGGCAGTGGTGCTGAAGCTGCCTGTTGAACAGCATGACTCTGCCATGGCTTGCTAGTAAAAGATAATCTTGTGGTCTTGGTAGCGCCAAGACTTTTGGACTTCTTCTGCCTGGTGGAAGGTAGGGTCTGCTGTTTGGTGTCGATCAGGTGAATGGCAGAGTTGTTTAGTGTGGGGAAGCGTAGGCATGTCCATTTCCTCCCAGTCATCAATCCCAGAGGGCCAGTCAGGAAAATGGTGCTAGAGGAAATGCTTAGATTGGAAAGGAAAAATAAATATGAGACGTTTAGCAGCAGGGGCTGAGAGGCTGTGGGTGAGTTGTGTGCTGGTTGTGGATGCTGGAGAGCTGTGAATGGGCTTCCTAATTAATTGAGCTGAGGTTTATCCGACCGAACTGCATTTGCATCCCCTCCAGCTTTGTACGCTGTACCTCTGAGAGAGGGCAGGCAGCAGGAAGGCAGCATGGAGCTGCCATTCAAGACAGGTCTCTCTTGGTGTGGTCCCAGGCAGTGGTGGCTGTGGGCAGGAAATTGCTTGTATGCACTGAGCTAGATTTCTGCCATCATTTTGCACGTTTGAAGAGTGACTTCAGCTTGGGCCTAGCTCTGATGTCCCCCTGAGAGGGGCCTCCCCAGGCTCCCTGCACTGTGTATTCACTCTTCATTAGGGTCTAATTCACATAAGTCAGCTACTTGACACAGAGCGACGCCGTGGTGTGACTACTGGCGAATCTCATTTTTTTCAACTCACCCTTCCTACTTTTCTGTCCAGGGGTTTCGATACAGACCAGACCTTCCAGTAAAGCTCAGAGTGTGAGTGTCACGTGACCAAGACAAGAGTCAGAAGAAAGGGGAAATGGACGGGTTGCACTGCTGTGAGTAATCTCTCTTGAGCGGGTGCCATTTCTTTTTTTCCCTGCTGATTTAACCAGATAAATCTTGCCCCCTCCACGGGAACTGCTCCCCTTCCACCAATTCTGGCCCATGTCCCCTCTCAAATGAGGCACATGTGTATGCAGGGGACCTGGCAGACAAGTGTGTCGGCAGTCTTTTGTTTTCTTCACAGTGCGGGGCCATTGGCCGAGAGTAAGCAAGGAACGTGCTTGGAGCACTTGTAGTCTAATTGTTCAACTCTTTGACCTGCCTGATGCTTTTGGGCAAGGCAAGGGCTCATGTAAGCCTGCAGGAAAGGAAGTGTGTTGTAGAGTGCGGGTCTTTTCATTTCGAGATGTTCCATTTCACTTTGGAATTGAAATTGAAATCTTCTCTGGAGATGCTCAGCAGAGACATCCTGTCAGCCTTGACCCCTTAGTCATTTCTAGACTTGATCAATCAAGTCTTAAAGTTCAGGCTGCTTTGGTGGCCAGTGTGAAATTTCGGTGGGGAGGCGCACAGCTTATTGACCCCTCAGTTCTACTTTGTAATACCATGTTTTCACTTCTTAGGGAAGAGAGATGCGAACCTTTACCAAGCGGAACCAGAAGTAGCAAGTCCAGTATCTCCTGGAGTCATTGCAACTGTTATTTAACGAATATTCTCCTCTATTGCACAGATTTTGTACGGCAGTTGATGACATTTCTTAAGTTGGTGCTTGTCATGTCACAGTCGCACGCATTTTACACTTGGATTTTCATTCCGTTCCTTAGTCTCAGAAAAAAATAAAGTTTATTTCCCAGTATCTCTTGATTTTATGCGTGACTCAAGTCAAGAGATGCCTGTACTAGTCTTCACCTTTTTTGGCTGATGTTTTCTTGTCCTATTTTTTTTCCTGAACCTGTCCCTGACCCGGACCCTGTCCCCGACCCAGATCCCAACCCCGACCCGGACCCCGACCACGACCCTGTCCCCAACCCTGACCCGGACCCCGACCTGGATCCCGACCCCAACCCAGACCCTGTCCCCAACCCCAACACTGTCCCCAACCTGTACCCTGACCCCAATCCTATCCCTGACCTGGACCCCAAACCGGATCCCGACCCTGACCCTGACCATGACCCAGACCCTGAACTCGACCACAACCTGGACTCTGTCCCTGACCCAGACCCCAACCCGGGTATGGTACCAGACCCCGACCCAGACCCGGACACACTCCACGACCCAATTTCAGACCCCGACCCAGACTCGGTTCTGGACCCCGACCCAGATCCGTACCCCGAGCCTGACCCCCAACAGTGACCCGGTTCCACACCCCGATCCAGTGTCGGCCCCGACCGGGACCCCGACTCCGACCTGGACAGGATCAAGGACAAGTTCCAGGACCCAGACAAGTGGGAAATCGCGACAACCGTGGGACATGTTTTTGGGCACATAAAATGTTCTGAGGAGGCTTTTCAGCA